CCGGTATTGGGGTTCAGTTCAGTTGGAAGTGGGGTTGGAGGTGGCGTTCAGAGCAGTCTGGAGCCCCTGTCTCCTTCCCGCCAGGGCAATCCCTGGGCACAGCCAACCGTCCCTTCTCTGCGCCAATGTGCGTGCCTCTGGGGCCTCCTTTCGCCGCTCCCCCGGGGTTCTGCCTTACAGCCCAGCTCCCTCTGTTTGAGCCTGGTTCCCCGGGGTCTGGCCTAGAACTGGGGTTCAGAGGAGTCAGAACCCAGCACAGTCCAGAGCCTTTGTGTCCTTCCCGCCAGGGCAATCTGGCAGCAGAGTCAACAGTCCGTCCTCTGTGCACAATGTGCGCACCTCCGGGACTGCCTCTCCGCATGCGCCGAGTGTCTCCGTACTTTAGGCTTTTATAGCTCCTCCGCTCTTCCTTCTGGTTTTTTCCTTGCTTCTCGTTGTAGAATTTCCAGTCAGTCGACTTTCCTATAATTCTGAGTAATGTCCATTTTATATTTTAGTTGTATTTTATTGAAATTGTTGTGTGTGGCTGCGGCTAGGTGTTTACCTGTGCCGCCATCTTAGATTCTCGGAAATTACCTTCTTATTACTTTCTGACAAGAAGCTTGTGAGGGCTGGAGAATAAGAAGGAGGTATAGGATCTAGGTCAGGGTAGCCAAATGTGAGAGGTTCCTGGCTATGTTGTTTGGGGTCTTGGAAGCTTAGAGTGGAGACCCCAGGACTCTCTGCCCTGTTTTTGTCTTCTTTGCAGTGGTGCTGTGGTTAGTTGGTAGCAGAATGGGAGGAGAAAGGAAAAAAATCAATTGGGGAAAAAGAGTTCTAGGACTTGGAGGGCAGACCCCAGGACTCTTTGCAACCCTATCCCCATTTGTGTCCAGGGAAGCAATCCTGAATCATGACTCAGCAACCACTCCGAGGGGTGACCAGCCTGCGTTTCAACCAAGACCAAAGTGAGAGACTCGTACCTGTAACCTTGTGGGAGGGAGGGAGGGAAGGAGGGATAGAATGGTTAGAGGTGGGTGTTAAGCAGCCTGTCCTAGCTTCCCACGTGGGCATCCTCTGAGGTAGCCTGGATTCCTCCTATTCCTCAGGCTGCTTTTGCTGTGCCATGGAGACTGGCGTACGCATCTACAACGTGGAGCCATTGATGGAGAAGGGACACCTGGGTGAGCCATCGGTGGGGAAGAGGCAGTGGGTAGAAGGGCTGGGCATTAGCTTTCACCCTTGCTGACACCCTGGTCCTTGTCCAGACCATGAGCAGGTGGGCAGCATGGGCCTGGTGGAAATGCTGTACCGCTCCAACCTGCTGGCCCTGGTGGGCGGTGGTAGCAGTCCCAAGTTCTCAGAGATCTCGGGTAAGTGCCCTTATCTCATCTGCCCTTGGCCCAGATTCCCTGGAATCATGGCCCCCTCCAGGAACCCCAAGGCACTTGAAGATGAAGACGTCAGAGCACCTGAAAGTCTAACAGTGAGGCCTACATCTTAGAAGTCATGACTCTTATAGCTTAAGAAGCTTGATGTTTTGTCTTCATTTAACAAACATTAATTGAATGACTCCTGTACACCATGTCTTTACCTATTAAGGTACTTGATGTGAGTCTGGTACTGTTCTAAGCACTTTATGTGTATTAACTCATTTAACCCTCAACCTAACTCTATATGGTAGGAAGTATCAATATCCCATTTCTACAGATGAGGAAACTGAGGACCAGAGAGATTGAACAACCTATCTAACCAATAGGTTTAACATAATTTTTTATGTATATGTTTTTATTTATTTTTAGAGAGAGGAGAAAAAGAGGGATAGATAGAAACATCAGTGAGGGAGAAACATCATTGATCAGCTGCCTCCCACATGCCCCCTACCGGAAGGTTTTTTTGTTGATCTTATTGGGACATGGCAAGAGACTTGCCCTAGGTAAGTCAGGAAGTCTAGGATTTCTCACAAATCTCAGGAGTATAGGGACTAGGACCCTGGAGGCAGAATTAGTGACAGGATTAAGTCCCTGTCTGCTTGCTGATGGGCCATGAGGTCCTTGAGTGAATACTCAATCCCTTCAAGCCTCAGTTTCCTCACTTGTGAATGGTGTAAGCCTCAGTTTCCTCACAGTTCTCATGCTGTGTGAGGCTCACATTGGATGTTAGTGAAAGGTTAAATGAGTGGGTGGAAGTCCCATGGGGAGTAGGGTGTGTTTTGTATCAGCAGGGCTGTCCCTCAGCTTAAACCTTGGCCCCCACAATGCACCCAACTTCCCAGCAGTGCTGATCTGGGATGATGCCCGGGAGGGCAAGGACTCCAAGGATAAGCTGGTGCTGGAGTTCACCTTCACCAAGGCAGTGCTGGCTGTGCGCATGCGCCATGACAAGTGAGCCTGAGGAGGACTGGGGGTGGGGGAGGTAGGAGGTCCCTGTAGCAGGTAAGAGGGTTAGTTCTGCCTGAACATCTGCCCTCCCTCATGGCTGTTGTATGTTATGTGACACCTACAGAATTGTGATTGTGCTGAGGAACCGCATCTATGTGTACTCCTTCCCTGACAATCCCCGAAAGCTGTTTGAGTTCGACACCCGGGACAACCCAAAGGGTAAGAAGAGCCAGATATCCAGGAGTAAGGGCCAGAGGAAGAGGTGGAGGGGAGGAAATGAAGAGAACATGGGAGGGGTACACAGAGAGAAGCGGGGTGGGGGGGAGGCATGGAGAGTCTTTGTGCAGAGAGATACTCAGATGGCCTGGGTGGGCAAAAGTATCAATAGGTTTACCATTGTTCACATGAGGAAAGACATGCAAGTTCTGATAATTACAAGAGACAGGATTCCTCAACAGAATGTCACAGTGTAGCTGTAAACCTCCTTGTGTTGCCAACCCCTATACTCCCCATCTATCCATCTTCCTATCCCTTAGCCCAGTGGTCGGCAAACTCATCAGTCCACAGAGCCAAATATCAACAGCACGACGATTGAAATTTCTCTTGAGAGCCACATTTTTTAAACTTAAACTTCTTCTAACGCCACTTCTTCAACATAGACTCGCCCAGGCTGTGGTATTTTTGTGGAAGAGCTACACTCAAGGGGCCAAGGAGCCGCATGTGACTCGAGAGCCACAGTTTGCCAGCCATGGCCTTAGCCAGTTCTCTTTCCCAACCCTTAGCCCTGCCCCACTCATGTGCTCCAGATAGCAGAGCGAACATACCTAGTAAGCACGTGGGTGGGTGAGTCAAGGATCCTGTGGCTGCCCCAGCTGCGTAGGGAAGAAGGGGATCTGGTGGGGTCACAGCTGAAGACAGCACCCTGAGGGTTCTGTAGGTAACAAGTATCATGGAAGGTTCAAGTCCAGCCCTTATCCAGCTCTGTCCATTCTGAGACCCTGCCTGGCCACTGCCTCCCCTTCACCAGTCCCTCTCCCTACTTCATCCTCACACCCTAGGTATCTGTGACCTCTGCCCCAGCCTGGAGAAACAGCTGCTCGTGTTCCCAGGACACAAGTGCGGGAGTCTGCAACTTGTGGTGAGTTGTCCAGTGGGCAGAAGTGAGGAGGTGGGTAGACTAGTTCTCCCTGTAGACTCTGGGACCCTGCCCTCCATGCTGCCCCAAGCACCAACTGCTCCTTCCCATCACAGGATCTGGCAAGCACAAAGCCAGGCACTTCGTCTGCGCCATTTACCATCAACGCACATCAGAGCGACGTGGCCTGTGTGTCTCTGAACCAGCCGGGCACTGTAGTGGCCTCGGCTTCCCAGAAGGGCACCCTTATTCGCCTTTTTGACACACAGTCCAAGGAAAAGCTGGTGGAACTCCGCCGAGGCACCGACCCTGCCACCCTCTACTGGTGAGCACAGGGAATACTCGGTGGGCCAGCGACCCCACGCCACATGACAGGTAGGCATAATTGCTGGTTTATCTTCCAGCATCAACTTCAGCCACGACTCTTCCTTCCTGTGTGCTTCCAGTGATAAGGGCACAGTCCACATCTTTGCCCTCAAGGACACCCGCCTCAACCGCCGCTCTGCGTGAGTACCCCCTCCCCCTGCCCCACCCCGCCATGTACCCATACCCCTGCCCATGTACCATACCTGGGCTTAGTCAGCACTGCCTGCAGGCTAGCTCGAGTGGGCAAAGTCGGGCCTATGATTGGACAATACGTGGACTCTCAGTGGAGCCTGGCGAGTTTCACAGTGCCTGCTGAGTCGGCCTGCATCTGCGCCTTCGGTCGCAACACTTCCAAGAATGTCAACTCCGTCATCGGTAAGTGGGACGAACCCTTGACCTGGGGTTATTGCATGGGCAAAGGCCTGCAGGTTGGACCTGGAAGAATTTTAGGGAATAGGAAGCCTAAAGAAGCTAGAGCGGGTGGTTCAACCCCATTATTGGTGAGGGGAGTGGCATGCGGGCAAAAGCCTGGAAGGAGATTTGTAAGCCAGGGGATGCCTGTATTCAAGTGTGTGGCTTTGGTAGCCTCTAACTTTTTTACTGATCTTCCCCCCCCCCTCCTCCAGCCATCTGTGTAGATGGGACCTTCCACAAATATGTCTTCACTCCTGATGGAAACTGCAACAGAGAGGCTTTCGATGTGTACCTTGACATCTGTGATGATGATGACTTTTAAGGACCAGTGGGTTGTGCTAGGGACCTGCAGTGGCAAAGCGCAAAGCATTTATGGGAGTGGGAGTGCTGAAAGCCACCAGCCAGCGAGCACTAACGGGGCAGGTGCACACTTTCCACTCCTCAGAGCAATGCCTACACAGCTCATTTCTCCCACGCTCTTCTTGGTGGTGTCCTTAAGGACTGTGTGCCCACAGGGCCAGGCCAGAGACCCAGAGGGGCAGCAGATGCCCTGGGGCTCCCAGCCTGGAGAAGAGGACTAGGTCCCCAGAGGAAGTGCCCTGATCCAACCTGTGGGGATAAAAATTTTTTCCCAGAAAGAGCCAATCAATGATATGATGAATTTGAATAAAAATTAATAGTATTTATGGCTGGACCTCGGGGGTGGGGCCTGGAGGAGATGAGGCTGAAAGGCACTGCAGAAGTGTCCAGGAAAGGTGTGACCTACTTGGACAGGAAGGAGGTGGGATCCTGCTCCGGTCCTTCTGACCATCCCTGCCCGCACCCCTGCTTAGTCCGGATGTCTGGCTACAGTTGTGCTGCTGGTGCCTCCCAGAAAAGGGCCCCTTGGCGCCCCCACCTGGGAGCGGATGGGAATGCCATGCTACGCTGCCTATATTTAAGTTTCACGGCAGTTCCGGTTTTGGCGTTTGCATTTCCGGTCACGTGTTGTGCGCCTGCGCCATCCACCTGGGTGGATAGGGTAGCAGGAGCCCCGCCCAGACTCCATTTCCCGGTTTCCGCCGCGGTGGCGCGGGGCGTAACGGGTGTTGTAGTTCGGCTGCTCCCCGGGCTGGTCCAGCTACATCGACTAGCAGGATGTCGGAGGTGCGGCTGCCACCGCTACGCGCCCTGGATGACTTCGTTCTGGGGTCGGCGCGTCTAGCGGCCCCGGATCCATGCGACCCGCAGCGATGGTGCCACCGTGTCATCAACAACCTCCTCTACTACCAAACCAACTACCTTGTCTGCTTCGGCTTCGGTCTTGCCCTGGCTGGGTGAGGGAGGGAGGGAGGCTGGCCGGGACGCCCGCAGGGCGTGGAGGGTTGGCCTGCGGGATTCTGTGAACCGGGAAGGGTAGCCTGGGTGGGGTGGCTGCCAGGCACGGAAGGGCAACTTCTGCGGAGATAGAAGCCCTGAGGGCCTGGGGAGTGGGGACTTGGAGGGAGTGGGACCTAAGTTATCTGGAGGCCCTGGGCTGGTTACAGCCTAGCCGGAGGGGTTAGTGGGACTTGAAGGAAGACCTGGGGAGGACGGAGAATGTGGAACCGCAGGGGAAACGCCTGGAAGGTGGACCTGAAGATAAGGAGGACTTTACAGTGGGACGTGAGTGTGTCTGGGGTGATGGGGCTCCGAGTGACTAGGCTGGAGGCCTTAGGGCAGGGACAGGGATCCCTGTAGGTGCAGGTACTTGGGGAATTTGGGCCGAGAGGGAGGATCCAGGAGCCAAAGGCCGGGTTGAGAGCCTGGAAGAGGGACTTGGGTGGGGATGTGAGTTGAGAGTAGAACCTAAATCCTGGAAAAGGGTCCTGTAAGGACCCAGGGCCTCGGAAGAGGGAAATGTGTGGACACAAGGCCTGGGGGGGAAATCTGCAAGGGTTGTGCTCCCAGGGTGGGTTTGGGGGCAGGATGGGGTGGAGTACCGGAGGGGCCCTGGAGGGACAGCAGGAAGGAGCTATCTGGATGGGAGCGCCTGGAGCTAAAAAGATGGGGCTGAGGGATTGGAAAGAAAGGGTCCCGGGCTGCTGGGAGTCGGAAGTCCCGGAGGGCGGACTTGCAGACGGGGCTGGCCAGAGTATTTCTCCGGCTTGCGGGGTCCGGACCGGGGACAAAGCTCTGAGGACCTGGAATCGCGGACGGTGGTCTGGGAGGCTTGGAGGCCGGGGGCCCTCTCCCGGCTGGCTGACTAGTTAGTTCTGTTGTCCCCGCAGGTACTTGCGGCCGCTGCACACCCTCCTAAGCGCGCTGGTGGTGGCGGTGGCCCTCGGGGTGCTGGTGTGGGCGGCTGAGAGCCGCGCGGCCGTGCGCCGCTGCCGCCGCAGTCACCCCGCCGCCTGCCTGGCCGCCGTGCTCGCCGTAGGCCTCCTGGTCCTCTGGGCGGTGGGCGGCGCTGGCACCTTCCTGCTCAGCATCGCCGGGCCAGTCCTCCGTGAGTCTCCCCTACCCGGATACCCGGGAACGGGCCAGCGCGTGCACGTGGCGCCGGCCCTGCCCTGGTTCTTGGGGGGAAGAGGGGGTTGGGAGACTCGGCGGGGATGGCCACACCCCTTTACAAAGCACCTTCCTTGGCTATGTTCTCTTTGGGGAATGACTCTTAAGTGCCTTCCACCAGCCTCACTTCGGTTACCACCACCCCCACCCCCAGGCCGCTACCCTGTTACAAAGTGTCCCTCAGCCACGGTTTCAGGATCAGAGGTGTCCTGTCCACTGACCCTTCTGTTGCCCACAGTGATCCTCGTGCACGCCTCATTGCGCCTGCGCAACCTCAAGAACAAGATAGAGAACAAGATCGAGAGCATTGGCCTCAAGCGGACACCAATGGGGCTGCTACTGGAGGCGCTGGGACAAGAGCAGGAGGCTGGGTCCTAGGGCCTTGGGATCGGTACCCAAGACCTGGAGGACCCCAACCCCAACCCATAACCGGGATTTAGAGCCTTTTCCCAGTCCTTAAGCTAGGAGCCCCTTGCCCAGGTAGAAAAGCAGGGCATCTATAATGCTCCCCCCACCCCACCCCACCCCTAGGGAACTTGGGACACAGCCACTCACATCCAGCCCTGAAGTGGGGCTTAGAGATCCGAGTATCCATGGTCAATATCAACTTCTGGACAGAGACTTCCACAAACCTAACCAGGGACCCACTTATCTCCCACGCTCAGTCCCAAAGCTGGGGTATGGGACTGAGACATTCTCAAATCTTGAGTCTTAGAACAAGGCTTTTCCAGACCACACCCCAGCTTTGAACGCAGAACAAGGCATTGCCAAATCTTAACCCCAGGACCAAAGTATTCTCAGTCCTTCTCTGGGTAGAAGCCAGGTATCCTGATCCTATTGAACCCTTGGTCCCCAGTGACCCCAACACTCACCAGTCCCATTTGCCTCCCTTCAGCTCTGCTTAGGGATTCTGCCCCCCTCCCCATGTACACACACAAGTTCCACAGTGGTGAGGACCGTGGGGTGGGGGTAGCCCTGACCCGGAATGAGGCATATATATCAGTATTGTTGCAACAATAAAAGCTGTTACATCGCTCATGCCAATTGGGTCTATCGTGGTGGTCTCTGCTTTTGGATTCTGCTAGATTCTTTATGACTTGGGTCGTTTCTCTGTCAAATATGTGGGCAGATGGGGTGATCTCTCCTTCCGGGAACTTGTTAATCTGGCATTAACACACAGGTAGTTGAGGGCACGCAGTTCTCCCATTTTCATCTGTCTTACCAAGGGCTCTGGCTCAGGGTTGGCTAGCCATCTGACCACAGACAGGCAAAGAAGTTGCCCCACATCGCAAAACCAGTAAAGCCAGAGCACCTGACATGATCCCAGGCTGTTTCCATGGCGTTCTATTTTTCATGACATGGTGTTATAGAAACATATCTGGTCTTCACTCTGGGTGTGGGCCCCAAGGCAAGGCAGGGGGAAGAGCAACACACGGGTTCGGTTTACACATTTATTCTAAAAATCCTCTTCCAGTGTGGGTAGTGTCTTGGGCCCAGGTCGGTTGATACAAAAAGAAAAGTTTTAACACCAGGTAAAGGGGGTACGGGGACCCCCCCAGCTCCGGAAAGTCACAGACAGGTATCATAGAAAACACAGCTTGTGTACATTTGTTTAAAAAGTGGTGGGTGGGAGGAAAGTCAAGGAAGATGTGACGTGGCCTGTGGCCGGGCGTCACCTGAGGATTGTACTGGCATCGATCTCTCAGGTGCCAGGTTCCACCACGGAAGCATCCCAGGACACAGCACACCTGCTGGATCTGTCCTTGGACCCTCCTGTGGGGCCCCCAGAGTGGGTATAGGGTAGAGGCTGCCACCAAAGGCCGGGTCATCTCACCCTGGGGGTGGAGGAAGCGGGCACAGACAGGCAGACAGGGTCGGGGGCTCCTTCCCGCACCCCTAGGGTGGGAAGATGAACCCAAGCCCCCCACCAAATGTGGGCAGAGAGCCCACCTCCCCAAGAACTACCCTGGTGGGGGATGGCGGAGAGTTCTGTTCACACCGGGGTCCCTAGCTGCCACAAACAGGGCCATGTGACTATATGGTCCATTTCATGGAAGGGGTTCCTGAACGGAACAGGCTGGGCGAGGGACAGGAATGAACCCAACCAGACAAGATCACAGTTTCCCTTTTATAAAACGTCTAGTGTCGGGGGAAAGACAGTGAAAACCTAAATCACAACTGTAAACAAATGGAGGGAGGGGCTCGGAGCCCCCGTTACACCATCCCCCACTTTGAAGCTGGCTGAGGGCCCCCAGTTCTCAGCACAGTGTGAGAGGAGAAGTGGGGTGTCAGACACCTTTTGGGGTCCACAGGGAGCCGGCGGGGGGGCTTGGAAGATCAGGTGGGCGCCCCCTGCCCAGGACTCAGAGCCACCGCACCCCAGGGCTCAGCGAGGTCAGCATCTGCTCCCCAGACCGGAGTCACGCCCAGGCCAACGAGGAGCGTATCAGAAGGGGTCAGACCAGTGTCCCCGGGGTCTGAGGGTCAGAACCGGAGGACTGCTCCCCCTCTAGCGTCAGGTCACTTAAACGAGCGCTCAGCTCCGGGGGATACAGGAAGTCCGCGTAGTATCTTTGCAAGGGGTAGCAGGAATCCGGAGGACAGGGTGGGAAGACAGAGGAGAGAGGAGAAGACGGACAAGACACAGAAAGAGAGGAAAAGAGGCTCATTAAAGAGGCAGACGGAGGCACAGGACAGCACCTTGAGGCTCGCAAGCAGGGGGCGTGGTTACAAGAGGAAGAGAAAGGCCAGGGCACAGGATATGTCCCTTCCTCCCAGCACCCTGGTTCCAAGGTCCATCTCCAGCTGACATGCACTGCTTGTTAGAATATTAACGTTCTGCTGTAGCTTGGCAAGGAACCGCTGTTTCCGGGGCCCAAGACACCCCTCCACCGAGACCCCAAGGACTAATATAGGCCAGGCAGGGCCGGAGACCCGGTGCTAAGGCTGAATGAAGCTAGCACTCATGGTCCAGGTCATTGGCGCTCACCCCCTCAGCCTGGAGACCTCGCCCTCTACCTGGAGAGACCCCCTCCCCCTCAGTAAAAGCCCCCCCCATACCTGCCGGAGACAGGGGGCGCCGTGAAACTCCTGGAATGCGGGAGGGGAGCCTGGCTGGGGGCCCCATACAGCGCCTGGCCCACCTCATAGCAGCGGGCGTGCAGGAAGGGCGGGTGCTGCGGGCCCATGTGGGCCAGCACAGGCCGGCGCTGGGGCCCCGCGGCCAGTCCCGAGTTCCGGATGTACCAGTCCCGCAGCCCCTCCAGGGCAAGGTTCTTGTGGCCGCTGCGCTCGCCAGCTGGAGGGACACGGGTGGGTGGGGGCATCCACAGCAGGGGGTTGGGATGCCCCTCTGGGCCCTCTGCGGCCTCCAGGGGCAGGCCACAGGGCTTGGTGCGGGCGGCCCGGGGGTGGGAGTCCTTGCTGCGGAGGAGGGGGCTGCTGCCATCAGCTGCATGCACGGGTGGCGGGCCTGGGAACATGGCGAGGAGCCCGTCCCGGCGGGAGAAGGGTCCTGGGACCTCAGCAGGTAGGAACTCCCCCCAGCCCGGCCCCCCAAAGCCTCGGGGCAGGCCCCGGTCCAGGGAGTAGTCCAAGAGGAAGTCCCCGCAAACAGGGGGCAGCCGGGGGGCCCCCCGGGAGGCAGGAGCAGCTGAGCTCGGCCGGGCAGCCCGGGGAGGGTCTGGGGGGCCAGCTGTGCGGGAAGAGAAGGCAGGGACTGGCTGGGGGCGCTCATACAGCACCTCGCTGCTCTTGCAGACTGGGGGACCAGGGGCAGGGGGAGCCAGAGGCACAGGCGGGGAGCCAGCTCCCCCCGCAGCTGCCCTGTCCACTAGCAGGGCCTCAGAGCTGTTGCTGCGGCGGGTGCGAGCTGCGAAGAGCGAGGCGCGGTGGTCCGAGGCCGGGTCCATCCGGGGGAAGCCCATCTGGGAGTCCTGGCTGCCAGACCACTGGCGGGAATGGAGGCCTTCGGGTCTGGGGGAGAAGAAAGGGGGATGGGAGGGAGGTCAGACACAGGCAGATGGGCTGAGCGCTCTATGTCTGTAGCATGTGTCTCTCTGAACCATCACTTCTCCATCCCCAATGGACCCTGGACTAGAAATTGTGTGTATAGAGGTGTTTGATAGAGGCATGTAAAGGGCAGAGGAGATTCTGTCCCAGACAGAAGGAAGAGGAATTAAAAATGTACAGGGCCCTGCCGAAACCGGTTTGGCTCAGTGGTAGAGCGTTGGCCTGCAGACTGAAGAGTCCCAGATTCGATTCTGGTCAAGGGCATGAACCTTGGTTGTGGGCACATCCCCAGTGCGGGGGTGAGGGGGGTGTGCAGTAGGCAGCTGCTCAATGTTTCTCTCTCATCAATGTTTCTAGCTTTCCATCCCTCTCTCTTCCTCTCTGTAAAAACTCAATAATATATATATATATTTTTTTTTAAATATATATTTTATTGATTTTGTACAGAGAGGAAGGGAGAGAGACAGAGAGCTAGAAACATCGATGAGAGAGAGTCATCGATCAGCTGCCTCTTGCACACCCCCCATTGGGGATATGCCCGCAACCAAGGTACATGCCCTTGACCGGAATCGAACCTGGGTCCCTTCAGTCCCCAAGCCAACACTCTATCCACTGAGCCAAACTGGTTTCGGCTATATATATATATATTTTTTTTAAATGTATGGAGCCCTGACTGGTTTGGCTCAGTGGATAAGGTGTCGGCCTTCGGACTCACAGGTCACAGGTTCGATTCCGGTCAAGGGCATGTACCTTGGTTGCGGGCACATCCTCAGTAGCGGGTGTGCAGGAGGCAGCTGATCGATGTTTCTCTCTCACTGATGTTTCTAACTCTGTCCCTCTCCCTTCCTCTCTGTAAAAAATCAAAAAAATGTATTTTTAAAAAATGTATGGGAGCCCAGGGCTGTTGGCTCCAAGGGAGATGCTGTGCTAGAGAGGAAATGCTGGCAGGGGACGCCCAGACAAGGACTCTTCCGAGCACATCTGACCAGCACCCCTTGCTAAGGCGATTCTCATGGCTCCCCACTTCCTGCACAATGAGGTACTAATCCTCAGGCCTCAACTTCCAGGCCCTTCCTAAATTCTCTGCTCTCCCCGCCCCATGTGTATGAACCACCCAAAACTATCAGCCCACTAGCCACCGTCACCGCATGCAAGTACCACGAGGACCCGGATTTTACTTTGTTCACAGCCTGAGAAAAGCACGGACTCTAGAGTCAAATTTTGGGTTGAAATGCCAGGCCTTGGGTTTGCTAACAAGTCACCTAGCTTCTCTGTGCCTCAGTTTCCTCATCTATAAAATGAGAATAACAATAGCATCTCCTCATAGAGACCTTGTGGTGATGAAATGAGTTGCCACTGATCCCTAGCAGACACTCAGTACTCAGCACAAGTTAACCAGAACTTAGTATGCCCACATCAAAGGCAGATATTAGTATTCCCATTTCACAAATGAGGAGACCAAGATTCAGAGATGGGAAATGATATGTTTTTTTTTAAATTGATTTTAGAGAGAAGAAGGGAGAGGGAGATATAGAAACATTGATCCACTGCCTCCTGTACGCCCCCTACTGGGGATCGAGACCAGAAACCCGGGCATGTGTCCTGACTGGGAATCGAACCAATGACCTCCCCGTCTATAGGACGACACTCAATCCACTGAAGGACCCTGGCCAGGCAGGAAATGACTTGTCCAAAATACAGAAAAAAGCCCACACACAATCGCCGGGACTTCTGCCCTCAAATGCCCCTCCCCCCTTTTTCTCTACCAAGCAATTCCCATTCCCCTTTCAAAGCCCAGCGTCTCGTGTCCCACACCCTCTGGGAATGCTCTCCCACTTAAGCTAATGGTTCCCTCTCTGGTCCTCAACCCCACCCCCGCAGCCCCCTTACTTGCAGAGCTGGGGGCCAGTGCCCCGGGTGAGGACAGGGGTGGCAGGCACACTTCGCCCCTCAAAACTGGAGGCACTCCTGGGCAGCGAGCGTGTGGGGCTAGACAGAGACGGGCAAGCCAAGGTAGGGGTCCACATGAGAGACTGATCCCGCCAGCAGGCCCTCCCGCCAGCCCAGGCTCAGGTCCCTACTCCTGGCTCCCGGGAAGGAGGGAAGGGCTCATCCTCACCTGGTGGGGCTGGCCACAGAGTTCCTTCGGCTCTTCAGGTCGCCATAGAGATCCGACTGGGGTGGTTTCCATGGGGTCCGCCGCTCAGGGCTGCCCCCAGACACTGCCCGCAGCTGGTCCCAGGTCTTGGGCGGTGAGGGGCGCTCTGCCAGAGGGAAGCAGCTACGAGGATCCTCTGGGTGGAAGAAAGAAAGTGGGGGGAAGTCAATGACAGGGGCCTGATAGGCTGTGTGTGAAGCAACGGGCAGGGGCTGGGAGGCAGGAGGGGAGGAGGGCTGGGCAGGGCTGGGCAGGCTGACAGTGCAGAGGGGGGCCCCCCCGCTGGAGGATGGGGCGTGGCGAAGAAGAAGCTGGAGAGGAAGGGGTGGAGCTGAACATGAAAGGGGGGTGGGTTTAGGGGAGGGGGTCCTCACCGTTATCGTGGCTGGCCCCAGACTCTGAGAGGGAGCTGCTCTCTGAGTGGAGAACTACATCCTCTACAGGCGAGAAGGGGGAGACCGGGCCAGTCAATGCCAGGCCCGGGGCCGCCCCCTTATCCCACTGACCGGTCTCCACACACCCCTGCACCCTCCCCAAGAACCCACCTTTACCTCAATCCCAGGCCACCAGAGTCCTGGCTCCAAACTTTCCTGGGGCCTATGGGTCAGTTCCCAGTCCCCGTCCCCCTGCCCGGAGCCAGATTCCCACCACTCCTCTCACTGGCCAGGTCCCTCAGGTCTGCCTGGCACCCACCTTTCCCTAGCTGTCCCCCCCCCCGCCCAACACACACGCATACACACACACACACACACACACACACACACACACACACGCCCGCTAGCCAATGCCCATTCCCCTGCTTCCCTTGGGCAGGTGCCCAGAGCCTGGCTCACCTTGGCTGAGCTGAGTGAGACGTGTGCCCAGGCAGACACCCTGGGCTGCGAGGACTGCCCCGGTGGACAGCGGGAGCACAGGAAGACCAAGGTGGACTCGGAAGTCCCCGAGCTGCTCCTCCAGCTCATGCAGCCTCCGGAGAGCATCGGCTTGGACCTGGCGCCGGCGCCACCGCTGCTCGGCGCTCAGCTCAGGGGCCAGGGCCAGGCGGCGGGCGGCCGCCGCGATCTGCTGCTGCACCGACACCTCGCGCTCCAGGGCCTCGAGGGTCAGCTCCTGCAGGCCCACCGGGATGGTGGGATACAACCAAACGTTGGAAAATGCCAAGCACAGGAAGCGGGCAGTGGCAGAGCCCATCTACACTGGGGGCGGGGCCTGTTCTTCCAAAGGCTAAGAGGATCTTCCCCACCGGTGGGGACCAGCATCCTCTCTCAGACCAGGAACCCACCCGCCTGTTCAGGGCCCGTCCCTTTTCATTCTGGCCTCTCCTTCCCCTGGACGCAACCCTACTCCTGGCCCAGGCCCCTCCTCCTCCTCTGTATCTGCCCCACCCCACCCTGTCCCCCTGGCCATCTGCTCACCTGACCAGGGCCCAGGGAGTGATGCACTGGGTTGGGGGGCGGTGGAGGGTAAGCTCGGGCCGCAGGGGGCCGCCGTCGGACCAACTGCGGCCGTTCGCCAGGCTCCAGCGGGCACTCGGGGGGCAGTTGGCCAGTTAGCTCCTGAGGGGGCAGGCAGCAGGGGGCAGAGACAATCAAGGATTAGTTGGGGGGAGGGGGAAAAGCAGTCAGGACTCCGGAAGCTACAGGAGTCCTACTAGGAGCCCAGTCCTACTCAGCATCGCTTGCTTGTTATTTCTCTTCCTCCTCCCAATTCTGCACCAGGCAGGTGCGCAGCCTGGACTCTCACCCCTTGACCCAAATCCCGGGCAGTGGCATGGGAGGCAGAGAGACTTGCTTTGGAATCCAGACTTTCTGAGTTTTTATGAAGACACACAGTCTAACCCTGGCCAGGTGCTCAGTGATTAGAGCATCAACCCACACACAGAAGGGTCTAGGACTCAATTCCCGGTCAAGGGCATGTTCCTGGGTTGCAGGTTTGATCCCTAGCCTGGGCCCTGGCCAGCAACCAATCTCTCTCTCTCTCCTTCTACCCTCTCTCTCTCTCTCTCTTTCTCTCCCACCCCTTCTTTCCCTTTCACTCTCTCAAAAAAATCGATGGAGAAAATATCTTCAGGTGAACATCAACAGCAACAACAACAAGAAAGACACACAATCTACACTGAGTGGCCAGATGGTGATGATCTCTGAACGCATAATAATCTGGCCACTCCGTGTCTATCCTATAGAATAAAAGGCTAATATGCAAATTGTCTCCTCGACCAGGAGTTCAACCAGCAGGCAGGCCGGCCAACCACCCATGTCCCCTCCCCTTGGCCAGGCTGGCCGGGCCCCACCCATGCACGAATTCATGCACCGGGCCTCTAACATATATACTGAGTGGCCAGATTAGTATGCGTTCATAGATTACAATGATCCGGCCACTCGGTGTATATCCTGTGCATTATAGAATCCTCCTTCAGGGCTGGTGCTGTATGCTCTGATGCATTATTACGTCCAGGCAGACTGTGTGCACATTCATGCCAAGAGGGAATAACCACTATAAATCACCCGGTGTCAGGTCAGGCCAGGTTTTACTGCCAACTTTTGAAACTAGCGATTGTTTTGCATTTTATTGGACTTCAAATTGTTGATGGGGGGGGGGGGTCGTCCCCCATTGCCATATTTCATTGATTCTAGGACATCTAAGCTGAGCTAGAAGGTGACAGAGAATTGGTCGCTCAGATAGATGTCTCAGCAATGGCCACCCCAGCCTGCCGACCTAGGGGCCCTGGCTTCTCCACCCCTTCCCACACCCGACACTCTCAGGGCCAGGCTCTCACCGCCTCTTGGAGGCACACTTTGCGCAGCTCCTGAAGTTTCAGGCTCAGGGCCTCCTGCAGCGCCCGCTGCCGGTCAAGCAGTCCCCGCAGACGCTCTGACTTCACCTGGGGAGCGGCCTCCCCAAACAGGGCAGCTGGACACAGAGGGAGCAAAGATCAGTGGGGCAGCCACGGCATCCTACATCCTGTAGGGCCAGGGACCAACCCTTCCCAACTGGGCGGGCAGGTGGTGACTCAGAGCAGGGGAGGAGGCAGCAGGAGGGAGAAGCAGATACCGACCTGAGGCATTGTAAGTGGGAGAGGTGATCAGCTGACCTTTGACTTCCATCCTGGTGTTGTCAAGAGCCCGAGGCCGTGGCTTATGGTGGGATAAGGCCTGGTAGTGATGCATGGGAACCATTAAGGAAGCACATATGTGGTCCCTCACCCAGCTTCCCACACCCCGGGAAGAAGGGGTACCCTGTCCCCACCCGCCTGCCCGACCTGCCCTCTCAGAGTCTGAGTAATATCTAGCCTCCACCAGGCCCTCATACCTTGGTTCCCTTCCCATTGAGTGGGAGCACAGCAAGTGGGGAGCTGGGCAGACTTATGCCTCCTCAGAGGCCCATGGGCCACAGTCAGGATTCTCACCTGGAGTGGGGGGAATTAATATCACAGGTTCAACCAACTAGAACAACATGGGCATTGCATTAAGCACCCGCATGCCAGGAAGAATTACCTTTAATCTTCACAACCATGGCAGTTCTGTAATTATCATCACCCCCAGTTTATTTATTTATTAAAAGAAAAAAAATATATATATATATAGTTATTGATGTCAGAGAGGAAGGGAGAGGGGAAGAGAGATAGAAACATCAATGATGAGAGAGAACCAATGATGAAAGAGAATCCTGCACGCCCCACACTGGAGATGGAGCCCACAACCCAGGCATGCGCCCTGACTGGGAATCAAACCAGACCTCCTAGTTCATAGACCAACACTCAACTACGGAGCCACACTGACTGGGCCACTACCCCCAGTTTAGAGATAAGGAGAGGAAGACAGAGGTGAAGAAACTTGCCTCTGGCTAAGGATAGAGCCCAGGCCACCCCTTTGGTCCAACATTCTCCATCACTAGAGCTGCTCCAACCCCACCAATTCCTCATAAGGTCACAGCCGATCTGACCGCAGGGCCTTTGCCCTGGGTATGGCTGCTGTCTGGAGTGCTCTTTTCACCTATCACCAGACCCTGGTTCTCACATGCTGGGACTTAAATGTCACTTCCAGAGTTGGGCCCTCACAACTGCTGTCCAACACGAGACTGTCCCTCATACATTCGGGAGGACAAGGAATGTGTCTGTCCTGTTTTTTGTTTTGCTTTTTAAATATATTTTATTGGTTTTTTTATAGAGAGAAAGGGAGAGGGATAGAGTTAGAAACATTGATGGGAGAGAAACATCGATCAGCCACCTCCTGCACACCTCCCACATGGGATGTGCCCGCAACCAAGGCACATGCCCCTGACCGGAATCAAACCCAGGACCCTCCAGTCCGCAGGCTGACGCTCTATCCACTGAGCCACACCAGTTACGGCTATCTGTCCTGTTTTCATCAGTGTCTCTGGCACTTAGAGTGATTCTGTGTGCACAGCAAGTGCTCAGCTGGATCTGCTGGGTAAATGAAAAGATGACAAGCTCCAGGTGGTTTGGCTCAGTGGATAGAGCGTTGGCCTGTGGACTGAAGGGTCCTGGGTTCAATTCCAGCCCAGGGCACATGCCTGGATTGCAGGCTCAATCCCCAGTAGGGGGCACGCAGGAGGCAGCCAATCAATGATTCTCTCTCGTCATTGATATTTCTATCTCTTCTTCTCCCTTCCTCTCCGAAATAAAAAATATATAAAATATATTAAAAATTAAAAGGGTGACAAGGCAGCTGGCCCAGGGATTGAGCCTAGATCTGTAGGTCGCTACTCATCCTAACTCTATTCTGAAGCTTTGGTATGGCAGGGAGAAGAGTGCCCCCTGGGCTCCAGGACCCCTCCAGCCCCTCTGCCCACCCCAGTCTGTCTCGCACCCAGAAGAGGGAAATCACCCTGCTGGGATTTTGACCAGTCAAGTCTACTAGTACAGATAACAAGCCGACTGCCTCCTGCCTCTCTCTCTGGCCCAAGCTGCCCTAGCTGACCATAGGGCCTGCTTTGGCAGGCTATCAGCCCTGCCCTCATTCCCTCCTCTGGAGTTTGCTGCCTCCCTCCCACATCCTGCTTGGTCCCCAGCAGGGCAGCCAGGTGACATCACCTGCCACCATCTGGCCTGACCTCAGTGGCAGGCAGCTGGGAGGGCCTCATGAGGTCACAGACGTCCCATCCCCATCTATCTTGAACCTACCAGCAGCTTATTATGAAATGCTGGCTGGGTGTGGGGAAGACCCAGGCAACTGAGCAAGCATGGGTTCAAGCCCCCACCCCATCCAGACATTGGGAGTTGTGCCCAAGCCTCGGCAGTCCTCCTACCCACCCCATAGGATCTGTCCCCTCCTGTGGTTCCCTGCCTTCAACACCAGAGGCAGGGATTGCAATCTAAAGCCCTTCCGCATACCCAGGCAGCAACGTGTGCTTGGCAGAGGCACTCAGATGGCCATCCTCTGAGGTCTGACATTGCTCAGCACAACGGGGTTTCCTGGAGGCCCCAGCCCAGCCCCTCTGCCCCTTGGTTCCTGGGGGTCCTTCTACCCAGCCTCCATTTGGGTTTGAGGAGCCCTTCCAAGCCCCCCCTAAACCTTCCTTCGCCCTCACAGAAACCTCCACTCCTCCCCGGTGGTCCCGCCGGCCAGGACTGGTCCTACCTCTCACACAAAGCAGCCTCAAGCCATCCTTCCCTGGGAGCTCCCAGCATCTTGGAAGTCAACATGGGGTCCAGAAAGGAACCCCGACTCCACCCTGTCAGCCTGACCATGGGGACATAGCTAAGGCCTGAGTCATGGGGTCACCGGGCAGGCTAGACACAGGGTCCACGCCCCACACCCCCACACCTGGCTCCCGAACCTCTGCTTCTGCATGGCTGCCCTGGGCACATTTGCCCTGGGGCCCCGGGCTGCCAGGTGCCCACCCAGAGAGGATAAGGGGATCCCAGCAACCCCCTCCCCAACACCCTCCCACTCCAGGCCCCGGCTTTTGCCATGGTGGGCCTGTGAGGTCCCAAGATGGGCTGCGGAAGGAGAGTTGAGAACACTCCCACACCCAGAGGCGGGCCCAGCAGGTTTTTCAGGTCTGCCCTTCTGACACCACAACCAAGAAATTCCTGGCTATAATGACTGTTTACAACCAAGACACCTCACCTGGGTGGCACCCCAACACCTTTGGTAGGACCCCCATTTCCACATCCTGCCACCATGGGAGCAAATAAACTCATAAACTCTGTGTCTAGACTGTTCACGCTATCCTAAGGGCCCCCTGCCCCAGGTGAACAGATGCGGGGGGGGGGGGGGGGGTTGGGAGTGGAAGGCGGGCTTTGGGCTTTCCTGAGAGGCTGGACTCCAGGTTAAGGGAGGGCAGAGGCTATTCCCACCGAGAAGGAAGGGGGAAGAGGAAGTTGGGGGAGTGGAAAAGGGGAACTCTGGCTTCTTTTCTCCCTGATCCCTTCCCTTCCTCCATTTCCGGCAAGGGATCAGCTCCATGCCAAGAAAGGAAATTGGACATTTTGGGCTTCACCCATCTACTCCGGCCCTCCCTTGCTGTCTTCTTGTGCAGATCTAGATCTTTCCCGCAGGAAACACGAGCACACCCCATACCCTCCTCACCCCAACCTGCGGGCCCATGTTCCCAGGTGCTCACCAATACCGGATAGGTACTGTGGGGCGGCTCCAGGTACCTGAAAAAATAGTTGTCTCCACCAGGCCCAGCTCCCTCTGGTAGTGGCGGTGAGCAGTGAGTGCAGTGGCAGCTGCCTAGACCGCCTCCCACTAGGCAATGGCCCAGCCTACCTGGCCAGGGACTGGGCCGGCCCATACCTTTTAACCCTTGCCTGCCTGCCAGTGAGGCTCGGGTCACACTCCGAGGCAGTCTCAGGGTCAGGTACCCTCAGGGTGTCCAGCACAGCCAAGACGAGAGCCTAGACCTTCCTCTCCACCCCATTCCCCCAGCAGAGAACTGGGGAAGAAGGGCTAAGGATGATGGTAGTGGGAGTTGCCTCTCGGGCTGCCCAATTTCCCAGCTGAGACCCTGTTCAGCCCTGGGTATAACCTGGGAGCTGGGGGATGAAGATCTGGCGAGGCCCAGAGTGTAAATCTGTGTGTGTGTGTGTGTGTGTGTGTGTGTGTGTGTGTGTGTGTGTCTTGGCAGTCCTCATCACATTCTTGAGGCCCCTACCCTTCCCGCCCCCGCCCCCCTCAAGGCATTGGTATGGGAAAGCCTTAGAGCAAGTCCGCCCCTCACTGAAGTAACAGCGGCCCAGCTGGGGAGAGAGGTTAACTTTTCTAAGGGGAGACCTGACCTCAAGACACTCCCACCTTCTGCAGCTCCAGGAGAAATCATCCCAGCAAACAAGTGCTTTAACCCCTTCCGGTCCCTGCAAACTTGGGTGGATGGTGCAGACCCAGCTCCTCGCAGCCAGCTTGTAGATGTGGAAGTGGGGGCTCGGAGAGGCGGTGAGGCCTGATTCTGATCACAGATGCATGACAGCAGGCCGCATCAAATCTTGGGGGGTTGGGTCCTGGGTCAAAGGCCAACAGGGGCTACTCCTGCAAGGGAGGAGTGGGAAAGGGGACTCATGCTGCCTCATACTCATGCTGCCAGCCCCACCCCCCATTTTTCCCCTTTGGGCAAATCAAGAGAATTGAGGGCTGAGTCCCTGAGATGGACTGTTTCCCCCACACCACTGCCTGGGCTCTGGGCCTGCACCAGCACGCACCACACCTCCTGCATTCCTCTTGGGACCATCTGTCTGTGACCTCGGAGCCCAAGCCCAGCCAAGGCCCCTGAAGCAATCCATGCTGGGAAATCAAAGGGCAGCTTAAGGCAAGTTCCCTGCCCACATACATGCCTCCTGCCACCAGGACCACCTTTCTTCCCGGGTTTGAGATTTCCGCCTGCACAGAACACAAAGGCCCATTTCATCTCCCCCTTCTTACCCCTCCACCCCCACCCCGGCTGCCTGGGGCTGGTGGAGGCAGCAGCCATAAGGTGGGTAGCTGGATGTTGGTGGGGAGTGTCCTCTCGGCCATGGCCTCTCCTGTCTCTCGTGGGACACCCAGGATGTTGAGAAGAGGTATGTTTATAGAATCAGACACGAGAGGGACAAGGGTATCTGGCTGACAATGCAGATTGAGTCTCAAGACTTAGGTTTCTTCATTTGAAAAATGTGTAACTGGTGCTTACAGAGCCAAGAGAGGTCCAAGACACTTAAAAGGCATTTCACAGTGCAAGGTCACTCACACCATGTCATTAATGACTGTCAACAACAACAATAACCTCACGCAAAGGTGCAGGAGTAAGGAGGAGAGAAAAGGTACCTGGGCCTCTTGGGTCAGTCAGACAGGCAGGGCAGAGTCACACACACACACACACACACACACACATCATTGCCCTGGTACACAACTTTTAACAGCCTGGAAGCTGGCCAACCTCTAAGCCCCGCCACAATTGGCACTTGGCCTTAGGTGGCCTCATGAAGGGGTAACAAGTGGTAGATCTGGGTTCAACCCAGCTCTGCCACTAACTGGCTGTGTGACTGCTTGGACAAGTCCCTTAACCACTCTGGGCCTCAGTGTTATCATCAATAAAATGGGAGCGATGATGAAGACGGTTGTTGTGAGCATGGCTTGAGTTAATACATTCAAAGCTTGCTTAGGACAGTGCCTGGTCCAAGCTATGTGCTCTATGATAGATCCTGCCTTCCTCCAGTTGATGGACAGTCGTAAGCCCACCTGCGGCCAGACATTCCTGAGCTCTGAACCACCAATCAGCACCTGCCAAATATCCTAAGCCCCCACCCCCATTCCTAAGTCCCTAGGTCCCTAATCACCCATCAGCGTGTGCTGAGTGCCCTAAGCCCCGCCCCCTATCCTTAAAGGTGCTTGTACCCTGGCCTTCGCTCTCTTCCGCCCCTCTCTCTGGAAGCAGCCGGCAGGGGTACTCTTCCCTCCAATAAAGCCTGAGTCCTGCCAGCCCGGTCTCCGGCCCTTCTCTATTTAATCTATCACTCTATATGTACTAGCTGTCACAATTACAAGTCAGAACCCAAAGTCAGAAATCAAAATATATCAACATATATATCTGATAGGGCTGATATCCCTCAGCCTCACCTGATAAATGTGAAACAGAGCTGTTTTCCCTCGAATAACTTGTCTGAACTCAGGAACTAAATATAATCAGGTGAATTCCTGAGACAGAGCTGACTAGTACAGGGGGTGGAGAAAGTACAGAAGTCAGCATCAAAAATCTTAGCGTCAAAACCCTCCCTACTTGCTACTCAGATCTGGATCCCTCCCTACTTGCCAAATCAGACATATTTGAAACAGAGCTGTTTTTCTTCATTGTCTAACCTCTCCCTACTCAACAGAAAAAAAAAATGCAGGAAACAGATATATTTATACAACACAGTATCTTTACTATCCCAATTCTAGCCATGGAGCTCAGAAAAATGAAAACTTGAATAAGCTTTTGAGTTAGAGCTGATATTCCTCATTATCTGAACTCTTTCTACTCACTATATAAAATGCAAACATTTATTAACATACCACCAGATGCGTGTGACAAAGAGAAAGAGTAAAAGAGCTGGCAGAGCCCGGCTGGCATGGCTCAGTGGTTGTGTTGACCTATGAACCAGGAGGTCATGGTTCGATTCCTGGTCACGCTACATGCCTAGGTGGCACGATCGATCCCCAGTGGGGGCTTGTAGGGGGCAGCCAGTCAATTGTTCTCTCTCATCATTGATGCTTCTGTGTCTTTCTCCCTCTCCCTTCCTCTCTGAAATCAATAATAAATATATATATTTAAGAGCTGGCAGAAAAATCACTGTGTATACATGGTGTCCCAAAAAATGTATACACACTTGAACAGCTGATAGTTCAATTGATGTTTTGTTCTTTTCAGACTTAACCTATTGGCATTAATAATGGGTTAAAAGTATATAATGCAAAACCAAAATACCTTCAGATAACTTGGGGGTCCTTTCACTGTCTGAACTATCCAAACTCTCCCTCTCATAATCAAATACCAAATAGATTGGGACAGAGAGGGATGCTTGCGCTGTTATTAATAGATTTAGATAAATATTTTAGGTCAATGAGATGGGTATGGCATCTCGTTCCTCAAACTCTCACTACTCTCTATTAGAAATGCAGAACAAAACATAAATGAAGAACGCATTACCTGCTCACTATCCAAATTCTCTCCGACTGCCCCCAGAATCAAGAAGATTCTTACAGCAAGGGAACCTTGCTGTTATTATTGTTACTATTGGATGGGCTTGATTCTAACACTTGATGAAGAAGGTCTTAGACCCCCTAGACCTGCCCACAGAGGTTAGATGGACTTAGCATAAGATACACTGACTACGAAGAGAAGGGGGATAAGCCCCTGAACCATCCTACCCCTACCAAGCCTTGAAGTCTCTGCCTGGAATGGATTTATTTTTCAGGCCAAGAAAGCAGGGATCATGCACCTAGAGTCAAAATCAGGAGATGGGGGTGACATGACCTAGAAGAATAACACATCCACTTGAGTCTCCCACCCCCGCGTATGTACTCAGTCCCCAACCTAACAAGGCTGGAAATCTGACCCAGACCTCCCAGACTCCCAGAGAGTCGCTGAATAATTTAGGGTGTTCTTCCACACTCAGGGAGGTGGGGAGCACAGGAACAGTTCTATGCCCTCCTAGGGCAGGGAGAGAAATGCACGCTCTGAGTGAGATCACTGGGTGGGGGTGGGGGAAATCACATGCAAAAACCACTTTGGCCACACGAGGCCCAGAAGGCTGCTTGTTCTTTTCATGCTAAGAGGAGCATTTGGGATGAACTTCGGAGACAACGGGATGGGGATCGGCGGAACCTCCTCGTTCAGGGCAGGGAGGGACCCTTTCCTTCTGGCTCAGAGGAGATGGAAAGTGGGTGTTAAGAAGGAGGGAGATGCACAGGGTAGGGGAGTATGGAAAGGGGTAGACAAGGGTCTGGGGTTGAGACAGGGTGAAGGGACAGGGCAGGAAGGAATGTAAGGAACAAAACAAAACCAGTTACTGTAGGATGGAGGTCAGGAGGTCAGACAGACAAGGAGCCAGGACACTGGCCAGGACATAGGATGGAGTGAGGCTCAGGACAAGGGTTAGAGAAGAAAAGTAGGGGACAAAGAGCAGAGCAGCAATCAGGGTCAGTATAGAACAGTAATCAGAAGACATGATGGGGGACACATCAAAACAGATGAAAGGAAGGGATAGGAAAAAGGGCAGGTGCAAGATGGAGGTAAGAAACAGGAAAAGACTGGTGTGGAATGGGGAGGGGAATGAGGACAGCGATGGGACAAGAGAAGACAGGGGAGAACAGCCCAGGTTTGGGGGCAGGGATAGGGCAGGAGACAAAGGGATGGTCTGAAGTTGGCTAGCCAGGATGGAGATTGGGAGTCATGAGAGGGACCTGGGGCTGGTACAGGGTGGGGAGAAAGTACAGAAGTCAGATGCCAGGAATCTGGCCAGACATGGATCGGGTTGGGGTTAGAGGGACAGGATAGGACTGGGAGGGGTTCAGAGACTGGATAAGAGTTCAGGGAACAGGCAGGTCGAGCATCGGGACAGAAACTGGGGTGATCAAGACAAGACAAGATGAGCTCCACAGACAGAACAGGGTCCGGCGAAGACTGGGGTCAGGGCAAGGATCCTGGGACCCGGATGGGCTTCGGGGTGAGGACTAAGTTTAGGGTGACAAAACAGGGGTGGAGGATGACGCCAGGCTAGAATAAGGCTAGGTCCGGGGTCAGACCGGAGGTCCTCCGGTCAAGACTGGCCCTGGTTCGAGATTTTTAAAAGATGCAGACAGGTTCGGCAAGGGTTCAGAGTGAGACTACGAGGTCAGAGGTGGGGGGGGGGGGGGGGGGCGTAAGTACATCCCCGGTGGGCCCTCACCCCGCCCAGTCTCCTCCCTTTCTTTCCCAGCGGGCGTTACTCACCCTAGGTCCTCGCCCGGCGGCATAGGCGGGGTCGGTGCGGGCCAGGAGGGATGGTGGGCGCGCCCGTCCCTCCGCCTCCCGCTCTTCCCGCTCCTCTTCCGCGCCCTGCGGTGGGCCGCGTTTGGTCGCCCCACTGTTAGCTTCGGGGGCCAGATGGAGGGTTCGGGAGGGTGGGAGAGCAGCGCCGGGTCCGATGCGGGCGGGGAACCCGGCCCCCCTACAGGTAACTCGGCTCGGTCCGCTCCCGGCTGCGCCGCCGCCGTTGGTCTCCAGCCCGCGGGGAGGAGGGGTGGCGGCTGACAGGGGGCGGGGTGCGAGACCACGGCGGTGGCGGCGATCGATTGCGCAGGCGCCAGTTCAGGTCTCAGAGCCTGGGAGCACCGGGAGCGATCCAGCTGGGAGCGCGTGCGCACATGCCTTCTCGGGGGCAGCTGAGCTCTCCCCCTCCCCTGGCCACGCCCCCTCAGTGATCAGACTGGCGCCCCTCACCCCAAGCCAACCCCTAGCGAACCACCAAGCGGTACCTCAAACTGCCTTCTGTGGGACACCACCGCACCTCTGAACTCCCCCAATACCTCCCGCGCCCCCAGTGCACCTCAGACCACCCTTTACCATCTCCCAAGTGGTACCCCCAAACTACTACCCATTGATCCCAAGCAGTACTTCCAGTCCGCCCCCCATGGACAACCAAGCTGTGCAAACTACTCCACTGCCCCCAAGTTGCTCCCCCAAATTATCTGCGATAGGCCCTGAAACCATTAACCTCCCAAAAGCACTTTCGGATCATCCTCCATCTATCCTCAATACACACCCCAAACACCCTCAACTGACCCCAAATGGCTCTCCTTGTACCCTTCTAACCATACCCTACACCCACAACACCACCCCAAGCATTATCAACTACCCATGGTGCGGCCCCCACTTGCACCCCCAATCAATTTCAACAGGCATCGACCGGTTCCACCTCCAAACCATGTTCCATGAACCCCCACCGACCTTTCATTGACCAGCCCTATACCCTGCCAAACCACCTTCCAACAGCCCCTGTCACTACACCATTTACTCCCAAGCACTCAATGTGATCCTCTAACTCACTTCAAACTGCTTTCCACCACCCTCTTCGCGGCCAAACTACACCCCACTGACGCAAACTCCACCCCCAAACCACCCCCCAATAGTCCCCAAGACCCGGAAATAAATGCCAACTTTCTCTCTGTAGTTACCCAATCAGACCCCTCCAATCATACACCAGTGACCCGAATATATCAAAAAGCACTCTCCAATGACCTTTTCTCAATTGAGGTATATTTTACATACATAGAAATTGCCCACTTTAAGCATGCAATTCAACTATTATAGTACATTTTCTCAAGTGTGCAAAAATCACCGCAATCCACTTTTAGAGCATTTTTATTATCTCAACGAGATAGCTCATTCCTGGGAGCACTTGAGACTTTGATTCCCAACAATGTTGTCAGTTTGGCTCAAATACACTCATAGAAATTATCTTTAAAAAAAAAAATCTCTCTGACCGAAAACCATTTTGGCTCAGTGGATACAGCATCGGCCTGCAGACTGAAAGGTCCCAGATTCAATTCCGGTCAAGGGCATGTACCTTGGTTGCTGGCACATCTCCAGTAGGGGGTGTACAGGAGGCAGCTGATCGATGTTTCTCTCTCATCGATGTTTCTAGTTCTCTATCCCTCTCCCTTTCTCTCTGTAAAAAGATCAATAAAAATGCATATTTTTAAAAAATAATTATTTAAAAAAAATAATAATAATCTCTCACCCTGGCTGGTTTGGTTCAATAGAGTGTTGGTCTGTAGATTGAAGGGTCCTGGGCACACGCCCAGGTTGCAGGCTTGATCCCCAGTAGGGGGCGTGCAGGAAGCAACCAATCAATGATTCTCATCATTCATGTCTCTCTCTCTCTCTCTCTCTCTCTCTCTCTCTCTCTCTCTCTCTCTCTCTCTTCCTTCCTCTCTGAAATCAGTAAAGATATTTTTAAAAATATCTCTCATGCCTGAATATGGCTAATCTCCATTCCCATTCTCATTCCCAATCCCAGGGAACCTCTAATCTACTTTCTACCTCTATAGATTTGCTTTTTATAAACATTTCATCTAAATGCAATATGTGGCCGAAAGCGGTTTGGCTCAGTGGCAGAGCATCGGTCTGCGGACTGAAAGGTCCCGGGTTCGATTCCAGTCAAGGGCATGTACCTTGGTTGCGGGCACATCCCCAATAAGGGGTGTGCAAGAGGCAGCTGGTCGATGTTTCTCTCTTATCGATGTTTCTAGCTCTCTATCTCTCTCCCTTCTTCTCTGTAAAAAATCAATTATATATATATATATATATATATATATATATATATATATTATTATTATTATTTTTTTAATGCAATATGTGGATTTTTGGTGTTTGGCTTCTTTCACTTAGCACAATGTTTTTGAGGTTCATGTTGTAGCATTATCAGTGGTTTGTTCCTTTTATTGCTGCATAATATTTCATACAATAATCTTTAATGGCTCCCCAAACCACCTACTAATAGCTCCCCAACTACAACTCATGATAGCTCTCTGATATCCAGGTCCTCAAATAGCATCTGAGACGGTACCCATCAGCCCTCAACTATATCCCCAAACCACACTATGACCTTCAAACTTCATCACTAAATTATCCACCCAAAGCCTCATATTCACCCCAAATCTCCTTCCAATAGTCCCCACTCTACCATCAAACTGCTCTGTAACTCTCCAGAGAATATCCCCAAAGTGCCCTTTCAGTAACACCCAACTCTAACCCCAAACTACTCTCCGATTCTAAACTTTGCCCCTAAAATTCTCCTTCCAAAAGCCCCCAAACCCACTTCTAAATATCCCTTAACTACCTTCCCTTGGCCTCAAACAATACCCCCAAGCCACTAATGATCACTATACCCAATCTTGTCTTAAATTACATGCAGCTACACCCACAAAACATCTGTGAACTTTTCCCAATCATACAACCTAACCACCCTCCAAGAACTCTCAACTACAACCTAAACCAGCAATTTTCAATCCTTTTCATCTCATGGCACACATAAACTAAGCATTTTTGCCCTAGCAGTTTTGGCTCAGTGGATAAAGTGTCGGCCTGCAGACTGAAGAGTCCTCCGATTCAATTTTGGTCAAGGGCACATGCCCATGTTGCGGGCTCAATCCCCAGGGTGTGGCTATAGGAGGCAGTTGATCAATGGCTCTCTCTCATCATTGATGTTTCTCTCTCTCCCTCTCCCTTGCTCTCTGAAATCAATAAAAATATATTAAAAAATAAATAAATACACTAAATTATTAAAATTTTGTGACACACACACACACACACACACACACTTTTTGGTGATCTGACAAAAAAAAAAAGATATAATTTTGGTTCATTCACACCAGATGGCTATTGTTGTGTTGGCTGTTGTCATTTTTTTATTTGACAATCTAAGGGAAAAGACATTTAGTGCACCTGACTAAATTTTAAAAAATATTTTTATTGATTTCAGAGAGGAAGGGAGAGGAAGAGAGAGATAGAAACATCAATGATGAGAGAGAATTATTGATTGGCTTCCTCCTGCATGCCCCTATTGGGGATTGAGCCTGCAATCCGGGTATGTGCCCTTGACCAGAATGAAACCCGGGACCTTTCAGTCCACAGGCCGACGCTCTACCCACTGAACCAAACCAGCCAGGGCGGTATTGAATGTTTTAAAAATCCTTTCGGCACACCAGTGTGCTGTGGCAGGCAGACTGAAAATCACTGCCCTAAACTTTCCTCTAATACCCCAATACTATTTGAAAACATCCCCCATTTATCTTCCCCATCTCCCAATTATTCCTCCAGACCATCCTACAGTGACCTCTCACCCCCACCTCAATGTTGCCTTTGATGGCTCCAACTGTACCCAAACACTTTCCAATGGCCCCTAATTACACTCTCAAACTGCCCTCAATAAACCCCAAGCACACCCCTAAGTCCCTCCAACAACCCCAAATTTACCCCCAAGCCATTTGTGGCTGCTGTAACAAATTACCACAAACGTGATGATTTAAAACATAAGAAATTTATTCTCTCACAGTTCTGGGGGACAGAAGATCAAAATCAAGGTGCCAGCCAGACCATGCTCCCTCCAGAGGCTCTCGGAAAGAATCTGTTGCCCCTTCCTCTTTTGTTTGTTTGTTGTTGGTTTTTTTAAATATACTTTATTGATTTTTTACAGAGAGGAAGGGAGAGAGATAGAGAGTTAGAAACATCGCTGAGTCATCGACCAGCTGCCTCTTGCACGCCCCCTACTGGGGATGTGCCCGCAACCAAGGTACATGCCCCTTGACGGAAATCGAACCTGGGACATTTCAGTCCCCAGGCCCACGCTCTATCCACTGAGCCAAACTGGTTTCGGCAGCCCCCTTCCTCTTTTGGTGGCTTCCAGCATTTCTTGGCTTGTGTCTGCATCACTACAATTTCTGCCTTGTTTTTATTCTTTCTGTCAGATCTGCCTCTGCCTCCCTCTTTTTTATTTTTTTATTTTTTTAATATATTTTTTATTGATTTTAGAGGAAGGAAAAGGGAGAGATAGAAACATCAATGACGCCAAGACCGGTTTGGCTCTGGATAGAGCGTCGGCCTGCGGACTGAAGGGTCCCAGGTTCTGGTCAAGGGCATGTACCTTGGTTGCGGACACATCCCCTGTGGGGGGGGGGGGGTGCAGGAGGCGGCTGATCGATGTTTCTCTCTCATTAATGTTTCCAGCTCTCTATCCCTTTCCCTTTCCCTCTGTAAAAAATCAATAAGAGTATATTTAAAAAAGAAAGAAAGAAAGAAAGAAAGAAAGAAAGAAAGAAAGAAAGAAAGAAAGAAAGAAAGAAAGAAAGAAAGAAAGAGCCGAAACCAGTTTGGCTCAGTGGTAGAGCGTCGGTCTGCGGACTGAAAGGTCCCAGGTTTGATTGTGGTCAAGGGCATGTACATTGGTTGCGGGCACATCCCCAGTAGGGAGTGTGCAAGAGGCAGCTGGTCGACGTTTCTCTCTCATCGATGTTTCTAGCTCTCTATCCCTCTCTTCTCCTCTCTGTAAAAAATCAATAAAATATATATTTAAAAAATAATTAAAAAAGAAAGAAAGAAACAATGATAAGAGAGAATCATTGATTGGCTGTCTCCTGCACGCCCCCTACTGGGGATT